AGATAAGCTGAAGTCTTCGTGATTGGTCGAGACGACACGAAGCGGTGGATGAACCGGTCTATCAGCTCATCCAGGGAGGAAATGCTCCCTGGTTCCAAACTCCAGAACCACTTCCGGGCAGTCCCATGTAGGAAAATGGGGAAAGCCCGACAAATCACGGCGTCGGGGACGCAGTAGAGTCGGAATGCGGAGATGAAGGCGCGGAGGTGATCCTCGGGGTCACCTCGGCCGTCATAGGTGTGCAAGTTTGGAAGCTTGAAGTTCGGGGGCACCCTTTCCCCATTGATGTCATCCGTAAAGGGCGGGGCCCTCATGTAGTCCGAAGCTAGGCCCCCGGGGCGCCGAGGTGGGTCCTCGGCCCGTTTCCCTAGGAGTCCTCGAGAAAACGCTCGGGAGATGGAGGCAATTTTAGAGGTCGCCTTGGAGGAGGCACGCCTGGAGGTACTCCGAGAGAGACGCCCCTCATCGGAGTCTTCATCTGAAGGTGCCTCAGGGGACTTCGTCGGCCTCCTCTTGGAAGATTCGGCCTTTTCTTTCCCCTGTCTTTTGAGGTACCTTCCTAGCTCCTCAAAAATGGTAGGGTTGTGTGATACGAACTCGGCCATCTTGGCGATGGCCTCCTCGTTGTCAGGCTGGGTCCTCGGGGACCCTTGCTCTTCAGAGATGCGATCTTGCTGGGCTCCCGAGGTCTGCCCAACCCCAGTTGAGGGAACTCGACCACTTCTGGAGCGCGTGGATCTCATTTTAGTAACAGTAGTCTCGTTCCCACAGACGGCGCCAATTGAGGAGGTGATTTTTGGTTGGTACCTAGACCGACCTGGATCAGTCCTCTCTGAGATGAAGTGAGGTGAACTCCTGTGTCCGAAGTGAACCTCGGTGTCCGAAGTGAGTGGCGGGGCTTCTCCCCTGGTATCACTCCGACGATCAAGTTAGTATGAGAACGAGAATAATGAGAATGAGTTAATGAACAGTGTGCTTACTTGTTGGGAGTGTGTCTGGGGTATTTATAGAAGAGAGGTGGTCAAGACGGAAGGCTCATGCTAGCGGGACCCACTCTCTGGCATTACGGCTCTGTCTCCTGTCAGGAGGTCTGACTCTGACACTGTAGCCGCCTGGGAGTGATGACGGAGGATATGGTGCAGGTGCCATTAAGTGCCTCCAGTGCTTTTCAGATAAAGTGCTGGTCCTGGATGATGTCAGGTGGGTTGACATCATCAGCGTGCAGCTGAGGCGGGGGTGCCGAGGTCGGCTACACAGTATGCTATGGAAACGGCCGAGCCCGAGCTCAGGGATGATGTCCGGGACACGGATGAACTCCGATGAGGGACGAGGTGAGTCCACCTCGGCCACTCGGGATGGCCGAGGTGAGCATCCTCAGCCTTCGGATTAAATGTCCAATTTGTTTCAAGTTTCTAAGCTCAAATTCTCGAGCGCTCTCGCTGTAAAACTTGAAATCTCCCCCTAAACTATAAATGCCCAATTACTACGTTTCAGATTAAATACCCAATTATGTTTCAAGTTAACGAGAACAGCCAAATTTTTCTCCAACACTTTGGAAATCTTTTGTTTGAACAGCAATTTTTCTTCGTTTTGCGTGAACACATTTATCAATCATCTTTTTACCTCTCATATATATCAAATCGCTACAATAATTTTTCTACAAATAATCTAAAAAAATGCAATCCCAACGAGGCCTAACTTTTTGTCCAAAATTTGCCCATGTGGTTAATTTGTCCAAAATTATCTGATGGACCAGAAAGATTTTGGCCCATGACTTTTTTCTATTATTTTTGTATTTTTTTCCGGAGAGGGAAATTTCGATTTAACTGATAGATAATAAGGATGAAAATAAATCAAACTCAATTGAGTTATTCAGTGAAAAGTCAAACTTCAGTTTTGAACTGCTCAATGAAAGTTCAAACTTGAGGTCGAATAGCTGAAATGGTTTGATGAGTTCGAGTTCCAATTTACTATATGAGATTTGAAAGTTTATCGACCTTAATCGAACATTAAATAAATATTATAATACTTTTTTGAAAATTTTATATTTGTTAGTGTGAAATATCGTAAAGTATCTCATCGAAAGTTGACAACAATAATAAAATTGAAAAAAAATTTACACCAAAATATCATTACCTTTTTGTTAGAATTTTATTGTTCTTTGCGGGAACGGGCGTGATAAGGTGACTTGTAGAGTTCAAAGTCATTGATGTAATTTCTAACACTCGCAAATTTTGGTATAAACTAGTACAACTTGATATTCACTGCACTTGAGGGGAAGATTTTTTCAGCTTTTTGGTAATTTCAGCAACGTACTTTCCCTGATGAAAGGCTTGCTGAAGTTCCAGCTTCGTAGGCTGACGAGATCCGTCTGCCGCATAAGTTCCAGCGCCGTAGGAAGATCCACCCTTTACCTCATTCATCTCAAACATTCCACTCCCAAAGGTATACCCAAGAGGAACAAATATCATCCCGTGGTGTGCCAACTGTGTTATGAATGTTAATCTGCAACACACAAATGGTGTCAGGATTAGTAAGTAGCAATTGAACACAAGGAAAAGGGGGCCTAGCACTTGGAACTGGAAGTGTTTCAGTCAAATTCAGATTCTTGACGTTATCCAGCACTAAGAAAGGTGAGTGCGGGCAGGAGCTGGAAAGGGAAATAAAAGCAAATATAACCCTAGTGAAACCATTCATCTGACAGAGGAGGCTAACTGTTCAAATGTCAGCATTTCCTATTCCCTTTTTAGTAGTCTAGGAACTCCAAAGCCGAGAGCTGACAATTAGAAGCTTAGGCAGTCTGTTTAACTTAAACTACAATCATAAACCATTAGAGAGGGGAGTACTACTTGGTTGATGTACCAATACACCGCTTCCACAAATGAAAAATGGGTTAACCATGTAGAATTGACAACATTTACAGGCAGAAAACGGAAGTTAGGCTCCTGGATCGTCAGAGGAAATAATTTCAATATGTATGACTCCAGCAGAGACTTTTTTGTAACCGTGTCAACTTTTTATAGGGAGGAGGAAATTCCAAAGCAATCAAGCAAAGCTCGACAGGACACGAATCATAGACAATTCTTCAAATTCATGATCATCCTCATAGACCATCAGAGTAGTAATTAAGGTGTTCTATCCCAGCTGCCTCCTGAAATTAATTAAGGTAAACTAAAGCAAAATCCCACGAATCCGATCACATTAATCAAGCATATAATCCCCTAATATTTTCAGTTCAACGCCAATGCAGATTCTGAATAATCGAACCACAAAGATAATGAAGCAGAAAAAACTCACGCAGTAAGCTCCTGGCCACCACCATGGAAACCGGTACTCCAGAAGACCCCGGCAGGCCTGCCAGCAAGAGCCTGAGTAGCCCAAATTTCATGAGTAGCATCAAAGAAAGCCTTGACTTGGGCAGCCATCATCCCAAACCGAGAAGGAGAACCAAACAGAAAACCATCAGCCTCCACAAGCTGCTCCGGCCTGATCTCAGGCACATCATCTGCTTTTGCAGGAGCCTTCATCTTCTCCAATATTTTCTCCGGCAAAGTCTCAGGCACCTACATCTTTCCATCAAAACTATTCAGTAAAAAAATTATAGATCTTTACATCCAAGCTAACATCTTCGCAAAAGGGTCATCAGAGAAGTACCTGCCAAAGGGTTGCCTCGACTCCTTCCACAGAATTGGCTCCTTTCTGTATTTCTCTTGCCATACTGTCTACATGCCCGTACAGTGAATAATATCTATGTAACAAAATCGAAGCTTTTATTCAACAATCCAAAAACGTATATAGATCAAGGGGACGAAAATCACTGATCTGAATAATACTTACACTACATAAACTTTAGTGGTGGACATAGTTGATCTCTGAATGTAAGCCACACCAAATTGAAGTTCTCTACATAAAAAAAGTCACCTTGGACTGGAAAGCGGCGACGGTGTCTTTAATTAGGTTAGATCATAATCAAATTCAACGTTTGCATAATTACTTAATACGAACATTTACATTTACATACGAATACATTAGGGAATCTGATACGAACACCGATCGGAGTGCACAGTACGGAGACGGAATTTTGCTACCAAAATTTGACTTTTTCATGGATCATCAACATCACACGACTCCTCTTTTGCTAACCTACATGATGAACCACAAAACTAATTCCACGCCCAACAGAAGGAAAACAAAAAGGCACTCAATCTCGCAGCGGAAAAGATGGATAGCTTCGCCACGTTGGAGATAACCTTGTCATCATTTAAGCCTTGGAATTTAGTGCTGCTCTTCTAGATTACGAGAGCAGATCCTCTGTCCAATATTTTATATCCAACGTGAAACTATGTAGTTTCATTTATTATATCTGTTGATATGATAACTAAAAATAAATAACTGTTTGACTGCCTTATACTTCTTTTTCTTTCTTCTTTTTTGGGTTTCCTTTATTTACACAATTTTGTTACAATTCTCATCTTTTTTAAAACAAAGTATCAAGAATTTCAAATACAAAAGAATATTTAAAAAAGATGGAAATTGTAATAAAATTGTGTAAATAAAGGAAATTCAAACAAGAAGAAATAAAAAGAAGTATAAGGCAGCCAAACAGCCACTTATTTTTAGTTGCCATATCAGCAAATATAATAAGTGAAACTATATAGTTTCACATTGAACAAAAAATTGGACACAAAATATTGGACAGAGGATCTACTCTCCGTACGCAGCAGCCAATTTTTTTGGACTCCTTTTTAAAAACTATATAATAAACAAACTCCTATTTCATACCATTGGCATCCACTCTGACAATCAATCTTTGTCAGAGAAAGTGAAGAAAAGCAAAGTCGAGGGAAGGTTGGCTACTATAAGTATATAACGAATCTGGCTTAAAAATCATCATCACTTCGGCTGACCGCATCGTTTGGCAGAAGCTGGGGAAGTCAGGCCATACAATGCGGGAACTAAAGGAGGGGAAGGAGAGAGCATAGAATCAATCAAAGCCGATGTACGTTCAGGGGCTTCCCAGTATATGATATAAATTTATTAGAGATCCTGTAAATCTGCAGTAGCACATGATACATTTCCAATATACAATTGTATGTCCAGTAAGTAAGTGAGAAGCAAAATTTTCTACGAGAGTCAAAAGTACAATGAAAGAGAGAGAACAAAGAAAAGCCAGAGTTTCCCTAAACACTAAAAAGCAACAGACTACCAAATTCAACCAAAGAAAACTTGTATGGTTTCACATCTACTCTTGCTTTTTGACACCATACTTTCGTCTTCGACTACCTGATGACAGATATGCAAACTTAAATTGGAGGGGGAACAACTTCCATGGGAGTTTACTGTGTTATTTCTCAACAAATGATGACTCTGCTAGATCAATTGCACGAGCAAGAGCAGCAGCTTTGTTTTCACACTCTCTCTGCTCATCGGCAGGATCACTATCAGCCACTATACCTGCCCCAGACTGAAGATGGGCAATCCATTCTCTCCGTCTGCATTCATCCTTGTACGAATACATTGTGTCATAACGCATTCCTGTAGGGAATACAATCGTTCTCAAAGCTAGCGCAACATCCATGTCACCAGAAAAAGAAATTCCCCCAAATCCACCACTATAAGGTCCACGCCTTGTGACTTCTAGCTGATCGATCAATTCCATGGCCTTTACCTATTTCAGTGCAAAATAAAACCAAACTAATCATCTAAAAACACATCATAGGGTGGAATCATATGCAGAATGCCACATTTCAATGATAAAGAGCATTGTAATGATACAGTCAAGAATCTTTATTTAGATAGTGTGTTTAGACTACGTGAAAACTCTGGTATCTTCAACTGAATCAAAACCCAACAAAAAGACGGACTGCATACAAAATAGAAAGGAGATGAAGAACCTTTGGGGCTCCACTAACAGTTCCGACAGGCAGTGCTGCACGAAGAGCGTCCCAGCTAGTCAAATGATCAAGTAACTCTCCAGTAACCTGCAAAGTAGGATGCCATCATGCCATCATTTTCAGAATCCTATAGAGCAAAAGCAAATAGCACCAGCAAAGGAGATTTAGTAGGTTCAACATTCACAAACATGTATGAAGCAAATCTCAAATCTCAGCTCCTCCACTGGCTACAAATGACGAAGCAAAACATATGCGCTGCCTTTACTGTGTGTATGCACTCATGTCAATTATTTTTCCACCAAAAACAATACCCTTTTAGGAGAAAACCTTAACAGATGCATCTAAACAAAACAAAAAAAACTAGCGATTAAAAAAGGTAATCATAATTCTACCAATGAGAAACGGAAATGTTTGGGATTACAGACCTTTTGATCAAATATACTACCCAAATAGAAAAGGTCATTAAACATATCAAGTAAAGAGCTCTGGTCTAAACAATTTGTCCAATTGCAAACATACTCTGTTTTCTGTGCAAATCACTCTTTCATTGAGAACAATTAACATATGGCCATAAGAATAACTTACTGTGGAGCTGATGTGCATGACATGGGAATAGCGTTCAATGTTCATGAGCTTCTCAACATTCACAGAACCAGGTTTTGAGACCTGCATCACAGAAACTTCCTGATGAGACAATCAGTGCCATAACAATATCAAGAGGTAAAAATAATCTCCGCAAAAAGATCAAATGCATTGCACCATTACAAGATTAACAAAATACTTTATACATTGTAAGTTGACGGCCAACAGTACATCTTTTATCAAGTCTCACGTTGTTCCACCATCATAAAAGATGATTGACAAGGCAAGATGCTGAGCGACATTTTACTATGAAAAAGACACCTACACAGACATTGCACAAGATAGCAGATGTGTATTGGAGCTGCAGTTTCAGTCATTTAATTCAAAGTATTTAAAGACTCCTAACATGAGATTACATGTAGATAGACAAGAAATGTTATTCTTAACAGTATAAATCTAAAGAATCCTGTTGAGAAGCATAAGGATTTAATAATCCAATAAAATCAAAAATATTAATCTGCAGGATAAGATACGGTTAAATCCTACACATCCCTTTCAAATACCAGGAAAGCACTTTTACTCACAGAAGGGGCTGGGGAAGGTGGTGATGCGATGAGATGTATGTTCCTTTATCTGCTAAATGAAGAAAGTAACATCAAAGGACCAAGAGAAAACCTTTCCAACATCATTTCTCCCCAGATCAACCAACATAATGTGTTCCGCACACTGTTTTTCATCATGAAGGAGTTGAGTTTCTAACATGTAGTCTTCTTTGGGCGTCTTTCCCCTCCTGATAGTCCCTGCTAGTGGCCTATTTGTAATAGTTCTCTGCAACATAGAACAGATAATACACCTGGTTAGTGTACTAAGCTGCTTCTGTAAAAAAGTAGATCAAAAGTGCAATTCTCAAGAAAGATGGATAAAAGGTCTTAACTAAAAAAATCATGCTTACTTTGAGCCACTAATTTAACGGAACAGAGAAAACTGAATTGCATGATGACAGACTGCAGTAGTTTACCTTCTTAACTCTGGTGAGAATTTCAGGGCTTGAACCAACCAGAATAGATCCTCTTGCCTGATCATAAGACACGTCCAAGAAACGGTCAAAAAATAAACACAATGTATCAAGTTTGAGTGGAAAGCAGGCAAACCTGTAAATAAGTCATGTAGGGACTTGGATTGACAATTCTTAATGCTCTGTAAACTTCAAATGGATCTGCAAACGTCCGTCGCTCAAAACGCTGACTTAGAACGATCTGAAAAATATCCCCAGCCAATATATGCTCCTTAGCCTGCAACACTGCTTTCTCATAGTCTTCACTTGACATTGATGAATTCTTTAATGACAGACCAAAAAGGCTAGTATACAAGTTAATTGAACCAGCAGCCAGCCTGGGACTGCATTTAACAATTATATCATACATAACATAATTTAACAGTAACAAACACATAAATATTATACAAAAGTTTTGAGTTTGGTAGCTCACGGGACAATATTATGAACTCTAGACACCAAAGCCTCCAACCGGTTCATGCCATCATTGTAGGCCTCCTCAACCGAATAAAATTCATCCAACCGCACCCAGTGAATCACATAAGCTTTCTGAGATTTTAGAGATGAGAAGGTAAAAAACACATTAACAGATAAACTAGAAACTGAATCAGTCCCATTTTGAATGATACTACCGGAAACCACACGCTATACACCGCAAAAATTTAATTCAGAATTTTATAGGCATCAAGACTAATGTGTAGGGAAAATTTTGAATCTATACAAAAGGATAAGGCAATACTAATCTGCAATCTACTTTAAGAAAGATAATCATTTGTGTGAAAGATACTTCTTTCTTTATTGGGTCGTGTTTAAAAAGAATTTCAACTATGCTCACCATGGTCATGAGGTAGATGTATAGAGCATGTTAAGCAACAATTAGAAACCCCAAGACACCAAGCTAGTTCTTCAGCAAAAGCCAAACATATTGGGGAGGATGGTAGCTAACCTTCTCCACATGATCAAACACGATTACATCATCATAGAGGCCTAGATGGACATCAGGAAGGTTTCTGTCATCCACAGGGGCATTTGAAAAAGGAAGTTTCTTCTTCTCCACGTATCGGACCGTATCATATGAAAAATAACCAACCCAACCACCTAGTTAAAAAAGAAGTAGTCAATTAAAGAAATGGGGTTATTTGATAGGATAAAGCCCACATTCAGTGACAGCAAACACTAAATGGTCAAATCAAACCTCAAGAAAAAATCACTTTTGAAATCATCAATAGAAGTTTACAAGAGAATGTAAATGTAGTTTTCCTACAAAAATACATATAAAATTGCACCTTGTAATTGCTTCATCAAGATGCAAACCACAAGAAAAACCCATGGTCAAAGAAGTTCAACAGCATGTTGACAAATCTTTCATTGACATTTCAGATGTCAGAACAGAAAAAAAAAATTACAAAGAGCAATGAAGACCATCTGAACGAAAAAACACATTGATGTCTAATGCATAAATTAGTTGCAGTGAGTCAATCTTTTCATATACTAAGGCATTTCAGTCTACTGTGACATACATTGACTGGACAGTGCCTTTAGAACATGTTGAGTCAAGCTTAAAATTAGATAACCAAGAAAACAAGATATGGCTAGGAATTGCTGATACAGTGGAAAGATTTAACAGCAAAGAGGTCATATTCTATATCCTAAAAGCCATGCTTCCAATGTCGTTCAAAAACTAGCTTCTTTCAATGACCTGAAGACTTCAATTATTTATCAGTAACAAAACCATGGAAAAACAAAAAATCCATATCACTTACCACAAAACGCTTCAGGGAGCTCCTCAATGCGCTGAGGCTTCCATTTCTCCATAATTCTCCGAGGAACTATCATTGGATCCTCTTCAAACTGTTCCACTCTCTGTCCTCGACGATGATCCATCACAGTCACCATGTTTTCTTTTGCAACAATTTCCATTGTTGGCTGAGCCCCAATTACACTAAATCGCCCCTAAAACAATTGATTACACATCAAACAGTTTCTCACCAATAAAACTTTTTAACCAATTTCCCCAACATTAAGAGAAACAGAGCAATACAAGCCATATCAGTTTGCAGCAACCTCTTTCTTCTCATTCCTTTCATCAACTTGTGATAATAATTGCAAAACAGAAACATTAAAACATTATTGCATGATAAATGCGTCTGAGTCCAGAATGATATCCTTGTTTACTAAAATTGATGACTGTAGTACGACTTAACAACAATGCTACACTTACATACCACGTAACATCCTCTTAATGTCTGTCTCTCTTCTTTTTTTTTAATTTATTCTTAAAAGTTGCTGGATTATTATACATAGCCAGGGGATGCTTAAGGGTACTTAATTGGGTTGGTAAAAAGAAGCTTACGACGCTGGAAACTTTCAAGCCAGGCTCAACGGACTCAAATAGAAAGCTGGGAGCTTCTCTATCATCTTCTCTGACCAAACAACGATATGCCAGGACAGGGGTGAGGTGATCGGAGAATATAGGCCTGTACAAGGGGATCAAATTCCCGTGTTTCGCCGCCTCCTTGAACCTGGCCGACTGGTCCACTGCACCCCGCCGCAGCGTGCCATTTCCACATACACAAAAAGAAAACGAGCACTAATAAAAACTAAAGTTGCAGTGAATGAATAAATGGAATGATGGGTCACAGGAGATTTCAATTTACCAAACGGATAAGGAGTAATGGTGGAGCATTTGAGTGCAGGCAGGAGACGTGAGGTGTTGGAGGTTGCGATTGAGATGGTTTTATAACCTGAGGGGATGGAGCGAAGGAAACCGGAGCCGGAGGTGGAAGGAAATGGGCGGTGCTGAAGAGGTAGGGTTTCCATAGTTAGGTCAGAGAATCAGTAAGTCTGAATAATTTTAGAAATTGCAGGAGAATGTCAGAGACATGGGACAGCTGCGGCGGTCTTAGCCTTGGAGACGATTTTTACCTTGCTTATTAGTAGCAGTGGTGGCAGCAGCAGCTAGTCATAGCAGCAATAGAAGCAGTACTTAGGACAGTCAATGGAGCCCCGAGCTCGACTCGTTCAGCATAACAACCCCGATTTTTTCACGAGCCTATCTGAGTTTGGACTTGAAAATTAGATCCGAATTAAATAAGAATCCAGTTTGAGTTTTATTAGATTCAAACCCGATATAAATCCGACCTTTTAATTACCTATGTGTATATTATTTATATTTTGACAAATTACAAAATATAAAAATACATATGAAAACTCTTCTATTATCTTTTTTGAGAGCCAATATTGATAATGCATAATTGAAACTAATTTTTCTTATTGATTGAGTAAATTTTTGTATTAGCATAATATTGGATTTGTTTTTTTGTCTAGAAACACAAATCATCAAAGATGTTAGAATTCAAATCACAAAACTACGAAGAAGTTCTAACATTTGAAGAGGTAGGGGTTTATGACCGCATATTTTATTACTATTTTCATGTATTTTGAACGAATTAAATATAAATATTATTGAAAAATTCTTGATTTATGTACTTTTCAAGGACTATTACTTGTTCATGTTTAGTTTTAATATTATAATCCTGTGAATGCTAAATTAGTTTTACAACTTAATAGTTATAGTAATTATATCAAGAAAATTGAGAAGTAATAAGTGAGTTTGGGCTAAGTGCGAATAAGGTTCAAAATTCAAATATTTTATGAGTTGAGTATCATCTTCGCATTTATTAATCCGAAACTCATGATCCGAATCCTAAAAGTGACACGGATAAACTGAATTGAACCTGATTTTTGAAAGTCCGACTCATATCATATGATGTAATTGACAATACGAGTCTATGACTACTAATGGGGTCGAGGAATTTTTGACTTCAATGCTACTGCTGCCTATTGAAGGCAAAAAGAATTAACTTAAAGACACGGAACAGGAACTGAAACTGAATGAATGAGGTTTGTAGATTTCTTTCTTTTAAAAAATTTTTTTTTTTAAAAAAAGTCTGTACGGATTACCTTTTTTTTCTTTTTTTTTTTTATAAAAAAAAAAACGTTAGAGATTTTCTTAATTATCTATAACTACAGTAGTTGGCAACCGGCCCAACCTTTCCATACAAAAGTGCATATTCATACCAAGGAGTAAACACGTGTGTCTATGGTCCAAACAGCTCAATGGGAAACTATCATTTTTCAGTACAATCATTTTTCATGTTTTCATACATTTCTCTATCTTATACTCCCTCCGTCCCACTTTAATAGTCCGGTATTCCTTTTTCATCCGTCCCAAATTGTAGTCCACTTTCCAATTGAAGAATGTAGTTATATTTTAATTTTTCTAAAATACCCTTATTCAATGTAAGTAGTTATTACTATAAACCTATCCTATTTAATGAGAATTTATTATTTTTTTACCATCAATTCAAGTTCCCATAAAATTGTACTCCCTCCGTCCCACTTTGATAGTCTCGTTTTCCTTTTTCGTCTGTCCCAAATTGTAGTCCACTTTCCAATTGAAGAATGCAGTTGTATTTTAATTTTCCTAAAATACCCTTATTCAATGTAAGTTGTTGTTACTATAAACCTACCTCATTTAATGAGAGTTGATTCTTTTTTTATCATAAACCTACCCCATTCAAGTTTTCATAAAGTTATACCATATTTAATGTGAGGGTATTTTAGGAAAATAGCAATCTAAATTTACTTTTTCAATAAAGTTAACTACTTTTTCTTAAACTGTGTGAAGAAAGAAACGGGACTATGAAAGTGGGACGGAGGGAGTACCATATTTAATGTGAGGGTATTTTAGGAAATAGCAATCTAAATTTACTTTTCCAACAAAGTTAACTACTTTTTCTTAAACTGTGTGAAAAAAGAAACAGGACTATCAAAATGGGACGGAGGAAGTATTATATTGTTCTCTTTTCTTTTACAGTTTCTTGTGTACATTAATTCATGCATTGTACTTGGTATAAAGACACAGTCAAGTACCTTTTTAAAGTAAAACAGGGACAACAAATTTGGGGAAACCAATTACAATTTCAGAATTGAAACCAGTTTCTCACAATCAGAACATGTTCCATTTCCTCGCACAAAATGGGATTCTCGTACATTTCGATTCCTACTCGATTCCATCTACACCAAGTTCTAGACTTGATTCACACATTTTTACCAAAAAAAAAAAAAAAAAGGTCAATTACAACTGCAGTACACTTCAATTTTTACAAAATACAGCTTCAATTTCTCAATAAACCCAATGTCACTTTCTGATCTTCTTCTGCAAAAACAACAAAATATCACTCCAAACTTAGCAGCAACTTGCTCCCCTTTGGATTTCCTTCGCATTTCCTCCTCCAACTCAGAACCAGCAGGACAACCAACATCACAATTATGATAAATTATCCCAAATAATATTTGGATAGCAAATATTTCGCTTGGATCCCAAATAATTGGATAGCAAATTATCCCAAATAATATTTCGCTTGCATCATAAACATATTTTTCAATTCACTTTTTTATCTCACATACATCACATCATAAAAAGTGTAACAATAATTATTTTAAATAATACTCTATCCAAACAAACCCTCGTCAAAAAAAAAAAAAGATTAGTGCATGAGTGATGAGTCTAACACATAAGTCCATATTTTTTATATTTGTTCAACAAAAGGTGCACATTTGAATCAATGGAGCTAAGGCCTTGATATCCTCCACCAATGCCATCATTTTAATGTCATTGGATCTTCTCTGTTGGACTAGTGATAGCGATTTCTTATCATTGATGCCAACTCTTATTCTTGGCCATTGCTGCTCTTTGGCTTTGATTAGTGCCAGTTGGATGGCTATTGCTTCGTCTAGATAATCCTGACTGGAGCCTCTTTCCAATCAACGCCGATTCTGCCAACAGTCGGTTGCTTGCTGCAGATGCTATGATACTAATTCCCATCTTGCTTATTCTGCTATCCTTATCCGCTGCTATTTGAACGATTGTACCATTGTCCACCTCTAACTGCGTTCATCTGATAGAAAGACAAAACATGATGGTTCAAGAGCACGAGTGAAAATTTCTGAAACAGTGATAATTGATACTACATTATTGTTTTAAAAATAGTTCCCCAAAGACATTTATATTTTGTAGACATTTCTACGTTCAACAAATTATAGGGTCAATTTTAGTGGTTTTTTTTTTTTTTTTATTTAAGAAAACCGTACTTTTTGTTCAGCTTACATCCGCAATAGCAGCGTCGTCGGAAAGTTTACAAAACAAACTCTACTTCCGTCGAGAGGCGAGGACATTTTAGACAACGAATGTGCAGGCACATTGTTTGATCTCCTCACATGTGAGATTTTAACAAAGCCAAAGTCTGCTAGCATGGACATGATACAATGAGTAATATTACCAATCAAGGACTTGTGACTAAAGTAGTATAGGTTGCGGTAGAGATGGATTGGGTTGGGTGGGTCGTGGGAGGAAATATAAATGAAAGATTTTAGATTTGAAACTTCATTCTTCTATTAAAAAAAAATAAACTTTTAAGGAAAAAGTAGTCAAAATTTTTTTTTATTATTAATCAGAGTAGCACTTTGGCACCCAAAATTAGTTTTCATATCAAATGTGAACTAAGTGCAAATGCTCTATAAAAACTCGAATTTTGCTCATTTCTAGTGGATCCTCCCTCCATTTTATATGTGGCACATCTAAATGCATGACACATGTTTTTATTTATTAAGAAGGGAAATGATCATTTTAAATTTGACTAATAATAATCTTTGTTAATAAATCAAGACACGTGTCATGCATCTTGATATGCACTATGAAAAATGAAAAAAGAATCCATTAGAAAGGAAGTCAAGTCCCATCTGAGATCTTTGGTGTCGCTTTTACAATTATGTCAAATATCTTGTTTATTTAAGTTATTGCTCGATCTTTTAATAACTCAAATTGATTTGATTTAATTGAAATGTCTTTTTTCCTCGCATGATAAATGGGACAGAGTAGTGACGCGGATAATCCCAACTGGCCAAGTCACTATAAAATTTGCACTATACCGAAAATTAGGCTCCAAATGGGTCGCCCAAAATTACCTTCAACATGCACTTTTTACCGAGAAAAGAAAAAGCAAAAAATTATCTTGTGAATATGTGTACAGAACTCTCCTCGATTCGAATTTGGAGCTGCTGGATAAAATCATTTTGTTATCTCAAAAGTCAAAAAAAGGGACAACGACCTTTAACCGTATTTTACTACTCCTGACCAAGACCAGAGCCACGACCAGACGCACATGAACCCACTAGTAAAGTACCGTCTGGTCCCCATCAATCCTCTCAGTGAAATTCATGTAATAGTTAATTCCTTCTCGGACAAGAAAGTAGAGTTTTTTTTTTGCCAAAATAACACTCTTCCTAAAAAAATATTCCCTATGTGATTTACTTTCAAAATTTATTCCCATAACGATGTTATTGTTGCCACCTAATTATCCTAATTGCCATGCAGGAGAATAAGAAAGGAAAGTTCTAATCTAATTTATAATTTCCAAAATGAACTAAAAATTTAATTTTTTTTTATTATAGACGCACAAGAAGATTGCATAACTTTTATAATTTTCTTATAATTATTTAAAATAAATTCTGCCATTATTGACCTTGCTATTATTGGTTTCTGAATTTCTTAAAATGAATCAAACCTATTGCATATATTTTTTCAAAAAATAAATTTTAAAAATACAAAATTTTCAATAAAAATTGTAAGCAATTACAAAAACTTCAAAGTGATCATATTTGTTTATGCTATCCTTCCTACTTCTTAAAAAGACAAGAGAATAATTTTTATTTGCCTTGAGATTATCTATTTGAGAAGCATATTTTTTAGATGTTGTTAATATAAATATTGGCTTCTTAGGATTACGTTTCACAAAGGAAAAATAATTAAACAAAAAAATGCAGGAAGGTTTAGAATAGAAGTGGCAAAATGGACAATTAAGAACTTG